GAGTCCTTCGGGAGTGGGCGGCATACAAGACAAACAAACAAACAAACAAACAAATAAATAAATATTGATTGATTATTCTGACCAAACAACTAGATAAAATCAAACCATGAAAAAACAGGGTGTCCTTGGATCTGCAGAATTGGCTGAGGACAGTCTAAATTGCTTGCTATATAGCATACGGAGGCTATGGTATACTAATTTTCAGATACGTCTTGTGTGGAAGTGGTAGGGTTTTTTCCAAATTTAGAACCAGATTTGCTGTGAAGCATTAAGACATGCTATCTCTTTATCTGCCAAAATGAAAGGGTACGTTCCTCAAATATCTTTAATATTTAACTATGATGAGTATATAAAAGTTTCTGGTAAAAGTGTTGGAAGTCCAACTTTTGCAACAGCTAGGTAAGACAAAAATCCAATAAGGAAGTAAATCCGGAGCATTACTTACAGGCTACATATGATACTTCAGTCTCCAGCATTTCAATATCGGCTATATTGACGTAGAAAAACGGCTTAGATTCAGGGACGGTCCCTCCAATACCCGGCAAAGAGACATTGGCAAGGCAGCAGCAGCAATAAACTATGGGTAAGAACCAAAGGAAACCAACAAGGCATAAGGTAGGCAATGGGACTTCCAGAACTTCTTTTGAGAACTTGAGAAAAAACTTTCCACAGGAGGAACTGTCTCTACCCAGAGCAATCAAATGATATTCCGAAAATCAAAAAATGTTCATGGAGTTCCCTTGGAAAAAACGGGAGTTTCAATATGAGAAATGCTAAAAGACATTTGTGAATAAAGACTCTGATTAACACTTCCTTTTTTCCAGAATTGTACATTGTTTGCTTTTCTACTTCTTCATGGAGACCATCACCTCTATGTTCAGAAGTAAATGCGTCAACTCAGTAAGATACAATTGACTCAATGTATATGCAGCTGAAAAACAGACAATTTAGTTTTCTCTACCTCACACCCACAGATTCTGCACGCCTTAGGAACTAGGGAGGCAGTGGTGTGAATTTGCCAATAATATAACGTGTTAAATTATCTACTGAGAATGTAATGAATTGTTATGCCCTAGACAGATTTGGGATGCTGAAGTTCAAGTCCCCACATGTGTGCAATGGCCACCTGGTCTTCTCGTTTCCGGCACTGGCCATCTGCTCTTCGTGTGTGCTAGAACCCTGGAAACTCAAAAGACCAGCTGGCCGGTGTGCATGTGCATGCTGGCCACCTGGTCTTCTGGTTTAGGCATGTGCATATGTGCCGGCCACCTGCTCTTCGTGTGCGCCAGAGCCCCAGAAATCCAAAGACCAGTGGCCAGCTGGTCTTTGAGTTTCCAGGGCTCCGGTGCATGTGCCATCACTGGTCTAGTATCTTCTTAATTATCTCTTCATCTTGCAATGTTTCTTCATCTTTCCAATACCGTGCAAAGATAATCCAGTAGAGCAGCTGGTGACGGTGCCCGTGCCCACATAGAGGTCTCTGTGTGCCACCTCTGACAAATGTGCCGTAGGTTTGCCATCACGGGCTATAGGATAACTTCGGGATGTCTGTGTATCTGTCTGTGTGTGTCTGTCTATCTATCTGTCTGTTTATCTATCTATTTATCTATTTATATCTATCTATCTATCTATCTATCTATCTATCTATCTATCTATCTACCTCTACCTACCTACCTACCCATCCATCCATCCATCCATCCATCCTTCCTTCCTTCCTTCCTTCCTTCCTTCCTTCCTTCCTTCCTTCCTTCCTTC